ACCCCTATGTTTACTACAAGATTGACTGCAACCTGTTAGACTTCAAAGTCTAGATACAGCGGCATCATCCTCATCATCACATGCAGTGGTTCTTGTTTCACATCCCCACGCTTTAATTTATTTCTACACACAATCAGTTTTTCCTCCTAGTAAATTCCAGAGTTCACACTGAATAAGTTGTTAGAAATTAGGGTGTTGATTGGTGACCATAAGTAAGTCAGATAGATTTAAGAGGTAAATCTTGTCTCCAATCATAACATCTATTCTAATATGCTTTATATTGGTCCTCTCTTCCTTTGTTGCTTCCTCTTTGCACCGTGTCGTAAAATTGAACAGTTTCATATTTTACACCCACCAAAACAGTGGACTCTCCATTATGGCATCAAGGGACGTGTAAAATGTAACATTTTTATTGGTTTCTTTTCCCCCTTATTCTTTTTTAAAGTAACACGAAAGGTACATGTGGGGGAAATGGGGAGGAAAATAAATGTATGTTAAATATAGTATTTATTTAAAGCCTCTAAATCAGTGAAAATATTGTTTGTTCAGATTTTTAGGTGATGTGTTTTTAGTTCCATGTTAAGGAATGTTTGTTTAAATGTAGATGTTGACCATCGTTTTCCCCACTGAAGACATAATCCTGTGAAATACTGAAAACTGGTCATTTTACAGTATAAAGAAGCAATATGTTTAGTGATTGTACACTCCTGTCATTTCTGTATATTAACCAGTTTGAGAAAAAAAAATTATAATATGTGCAAATACTGTATTGTCAGGATAACTGAACATTTCACCACATATTTAAAACAAAATAAAATAAATAGTCTGTGTGAAAGAAACTGAAGTTGAATGCCCCTACTAAATGCACAATACAAGTATAATGTATGCACACATTTGACTTGAAGTGCAGCTGAAGAACAAAAAAAAGCTGTTAAGGTTTTATTTCACCTTAAAATCTCCACTAAACAGACCCATCTCCATTAAAAGGGTTTAAGTTTGCAAAGAATTGCTTTATTACTATTTAACACATTATTTATAAGAGCAACTTTGGGGTTTCCAAGTTATGAAAAATCTCTGACTGGTTTTTCTTCACACATGCTTTATGTTTTGAGCTCCTTGTTCCATCAGGAAGAATGTCAGATTTTTATTACCTTTATTACTCTCACACAAAGAGAAAAGATGCATTGAACCAGATTTAAGTATAGGTATAGGTTCAGGTGTAGCTGATGCTGATGTGCACTTTCCAGGCAGGTAGACACGAACACATGTTCACTGTTATAAACATTTATATAGGCTACTGTTTAAAATGCTAAACAGGGAGACTCAAAGTAAAATGATTGCATGATTGATTACAATGAGTGCATATTTGCATGATGATGATGATGATGATGATGGTGGTGGTGGGCATGATATACACCCCCCGGATGACGCAGATAGCTCCGGTGTGCGTTCTACTGGTCAGCTGCTGTCTGTGGAGAGCAATAGGCTATGAGCCAGCAGCAACAGCACCTCCGACAGGCGATGGAAACAGAGACGCGGATGGAGCTGCAGTAGCTACAGATCCGGGGAGGATGGTGCACCTATTATGAGACGAACCAAGCCGTGTTTATCCCGTGTCAGCTGCAGCAACACGGGCCGTGGATGCTTTTCCCGATGGGTTGTGGAGGGAGTCGGGCGGACGCGATCATCGAGCCGAGGTATCATGAAAGCTGGACCAGGGATACGGAATCGACGTGGCTTACCAATACGGACGTAGAGACCCCTCTCCCTGTAGCAAACGGTAAGATCCACCATCGTGTTTTTCTCAGTTTTGGCAGGAAAAGTAAAGATCCTTTATTGGCATATACCATAAATCAAAAACCTCACAATGCAGTCCTAGTGGGGTCAGATGGAAAACATTATAGATAGGGTCCACTACAAACATACGTGAACCATTCACAACACAGCTACCAGCTGTCAACTCCCTGACACATAACAGTTTTGCCCCATCTCTGCCTTATTGTTGAATGAAGCTATAGGGTAAGAATATAGCTGTGTTTCAAGGGCTATTCTTTAGTGCTTAACCTCCACAGGCAAAGCTCTGGAGGCCAGCCTGAGGGAGAAGAGGATGGTGAACACAGGCACCCAGTGTGGAAAGCAGGCTCTCCCCACCACTGGCTCCAACCAACAGAGGAGACCCAGACGCTCCTTGACTGATGTAAGTATCAGTGGCAGCAGGTGAATATCAATCTTTGCAGTCATGGTGATGAACAGGATGCAAGACCCAGCAGCATGTCACTTGTCACCTTACTTGTTTGTTAGTTTTTACAAAAATGCATTTGTTGGGTTACTCTGCAGAATCAGAATCAACTTTATATGAACTCAAATTCCAACCACCAGTAGCTGTTTTATTATTATTATTTTTATAACTTTAATTTCATCATGGAAGCCACATTGAAGTTACAAGAGGAACCTGGCAACACAGCAAACAACAGGCCTACTTAAATGGGATTTCAATACTACGAAGGCTGAAATAAGATGAGAACTGGAGTTACGTATTTACAAAAGATGAAATTATAATTGACAGTAGTCGTGAATTCACATTCGAAATGTCAAATTTCTCAGTTCGTTCTAATCATTCTTTTGCAGAGGATTCCAGATAAGGCTTTTTCTATCTCTGTCCTAAACTCTGTGGAATAGCTTTGCAAGAAATAAAATGGAAGCCAATCCAGAATGACTTTTCAAATTTACAAGAAAATACAAATAAAGACATTCAAAGACAGATGTTTCAAAAGTTAGAGCTGGACAACAACCGTACAGTATATAACACAATATATACATTTTGCTAGTTTCAATCATTTTAACCATAAAAAAATATTTCCGCTTCTCAGATGTGAGGATGCTGCTTTTCTTTGTCTCATATAACAAATATCTGAGATTTAGACTGAAGGTCCAAGAAATTGGGACATTTGAAGTAGCACTAACTAAGTTATTTTCACAATTTTTCACTACTTGCTGATGCTTTATAGACAAAATGATTTATTGAGAAAAGAAGAATAATCAAAAAATAAAATAACAATTAGTTGCAGTCATTACTGAGCAGGTTTTGTGTGCGTGCTATATTTTGATGAATATATTCATGTCTTTCTCAAAGTCAGTATATTTATCTTCTTAGGGTCCTGGCCGAGCATAGAATGTTCTTCCAACCATCTGTTTGCTTAATCTTTTGTGAGCTAACTTCGCAAACATGGAGTCATCTGGTCCCAGAATTCAGATTTATGGACTTTACCATTAGCAAACAGCAGATAGAAAGAGGCAGAGAGATAACATGGACACTTTTATTTGCTATGTTTTAAATTCTATTTAGGATCTGTTATGTGTGTTTTTTCCTTACTATTTAACAAACCTCAGATTTAACAAATTAATTTTCAGTATCTGAGAAACAGACTGTTGTGTTTTACTTATTTAACCTTCCACTTATAGGCAGTGCTCCGGTGACTCAGGTCTCAGCTGGCCAACTTCGCCCACTCATTCTCTCTCCACTGTGGTGACATTTATACCACATGACATTCAAAATCTTAACATCTTTTTACAGCAAACCATTCGTGACTCTAAAAGGAGGGCATCAAAAGAAGCCAGCACTTTGTCTAAGGATGAGCAGCCCTTCAGTAGCAACAGCAGTGGAGATGCTGAACCTGGAAACGTGTGCGATGAAAGATGAAGACAAGTCCAGATTGTGTGAGGAGGGAGATGTCAGCAGTTCACCAGAAGATGGGATGGTGATTTCCAGACATGTGGAAGATATTTGCTAGTGACTTTGTGAGATCTTGGCTGCTGATCTCAGTGACCGACAACATAAGCACCTGCATATATGTCTCCATCCAGAGATCTCGGGATGCTGTGTCTTTGTCATGCCATTGCAAATGCATGTGTGAAGCAGAGAGTGGGTCACGAACAGTGTTCACACTCTTCACCATGCTTTTCTCCCATGCTTATGGCGCTGGTCGGGAAACATGTCACTGTGTTTAAGAAAACAAGAACAGACAGTCCCATACGCACATGCTAATCATAATCTGCACATCAAATGTTTTTCTGTGTGGGGCCTTCCTAAAGAATTTGCTTGAGTTCTTTGTGCATGTATATTCCTTTTGTTGTGAGTGAAAAATAATGGTGTGGGAACAAACGATGATGCAGTTTTGACCTCAGTAAATGCTGTTAATGATTTTCATTTTGAAGAACCTGGAGTGCTGTTTAGAAGCTGAGATTTGGGGGTTTGAAGCCTGAAAGTTGAAACTGTCTTTTTTCAGCCTTTGCAAGACAAACACACCCGCATGTGCCTACGATTTGTCTTGATATGAACTGCTTCTGTACTCACTTTGGCAGCATTTTTATTAATCTTTGTTCAGGGTTATGTGATCTCCAGTACATTTTCTGTTGTGTTTTATGATGATACACTTTATTGTTGACCACATATTGTAACAATATGCTTACACTGATCTGCATGTACTGTATCAGTTGATTCAGTAGTGGTTGACAAAAGTCTCTGCTCGAACATAATCAAGATGTTTGAGGAAGAACAGTCTGCCTTTCCAATACACGTGTAAATAGGAAAACTGCACTAAGAAGTACATTCAGGAGTCGATTCAGGATGGCAGCTGGAGTCTTGCTAATTGAAGGCCCCCCATGCAGAAGATCATTATTCACAGCAACCACTTGAAGAAAACCATTGAATAGAAATAAAAGATGCTCAGTTCAGCTTTGCTGGAGCGTAAGTAAAATCTGATGGGCGTGACTTGTCAGTAAATTCAGAATTTGACTTAACATTTTATGCTTCTAGCTTTACTATTGCTTGTCAAGAGTTTTTGATGATTCAATGAAATGATAATGGTGAAATGTATACAGGTCAAATCAGGACTGGCCACATTTTTTCTTATTTGTATTAAAAATTGTTGTCACCTTCTTAAGATGTTAAACTTAGAAATAAGTGATGTGCAGTCATTTACCACAAAGGCTACAGCATAGTTAAATAGCTTTACTTATAAATAGAAATTAATAGGCTATAAACAATGGTGAAGGAAGTCTAAAGAAATGTTTCTGTCCATGCATTATCTATACCGCTTATCCTGACAAGGGTCTCGGGAAGAAATGTCTCTAAAATAAATGAAAAAGTCATAGGTATTGTTTGAAATAATTATTTTAAATGTATCAAATATGACAGGAAAGACATAAATAACCAACTCTACCTTACTTCAGTTAACTTATTTAAGCCTAAATAAAATTAGTCAACACAGCTTTAAAAGCACAACAAAACAAAACAAACAAACAATAATAATAAAATAAAGACGTGTCCGCCATCTTGTCTGTATCCCGGGCCTCTTCGGCAGTTTTGGTATTTTTTGAAAAACTTTTCAACATTTTAATTGATTTTGTGCAACACACCTGATTGCGGAAGCTCTTTAGCGTATGACGCCAATTTGTAGGGCATGCACATATAATCGGCGGGCACTAGGACCACGCGGAACGTGCTGTCAGCTAGCTGTCGCTTACGCCGAGCCGTTGGTGCTCTTCGCTCACACCGGACCGAGAACAGCTGGGCGAGAGATTAACGTCTGACTCTGTGGCTGAGTGACTATAAAACAACAAACTGACAATCACTTCGCGTTTTCCCTCTTACGTTATGTGGTTATAATGGTGTTGTGAGTATGGCCAAGCGACCGGGGACTGACGACGGGATTTGTACTTCACCGACCATTCTTCGGGATTTCACCGCCGATTTGAACGCCGTGAACATGACTACGGACTGCGGCGACGGAGCCGATGAGGTCTCGCTGGAAGAAATTCTATCACTCTACGGGCAGCCGATAAACGAGGAACAGGCATGGGCAGTGTGTTATCAGTGTTGTCGGACTTTAGCGCAGAAACATCGAAGGAAAAGCTCCAGGTCTCGTGGTGCTTCAGCACTCTACTATCCAAAAAAGATTGAGGGACCCAGGGATGTGAGAGTCGGGAGAGACGGGACTATCAAACTGCACTTTGAAGTCAGCACAGGTAAACGAACCGAGGGAACCCAGGTGTCGTGATTTGCTAACATTTGTGTGGTCTGAGTAACCGGACAGCTGAACGACCCAGACTTAACAGGCTGCCGACAATGGAGCATTTACCCCGAACATCACTCATAGGCCGAGCGAATGGAGAGCATCCCTACAAAGAGGCCATATTGTTGCTGGCTGCCTCCAGCCATGTGAATTTGTTTACAGGCGGCTATTAATAATACATTATAAATCCCCCTCTTAGCTGCTGGGAATCAAAATGATTACTTGCAAACAGGGCGTGTTTCATAACAATCTAATATTTACATTGCCAACATGGCTCATACCATTGCTTCTTTCATACGGGGCTGCTAGCGAGGCTGCTGCGTGTTCGTCATTCTTCTTCTGTAGTGGTCAGTTACCTTAAGTAAACAATGAACCATGTGATGGATTCAAACTACAGAGCACCTTGGGTCCAGTCCAGAGTTAAGTGTAGCCAGCATCAGGGCGACAGTGAAATAAAGCGTTCAGAAGCCAATGACAGATGATTCACATTGCTGCTAACAGCCATATTATTTGTTTTTATGACGTTTACGACGCTTACTGTGGGTAAAGGCACAGATTAGTGGGGTGGCTCGGTGGGAGGGGCGGTCGTGATTAGCGATTGAGTAGTTGAGAGCAGGTACCTTGTTTGAGCTGCATGCACCTGAGGGAGCTGTTAATCACAATAGAAACGGGTTTAAATATAGCTTAATACATGTTTAGAGATGAAAGTGAGCATTAACATGGGGTTCTTAGGGACAGATCCCATCAATTTTGGTCCTGGAGGTCCACTTTCTTGCAGGCTTGTTCTCCACCTGACTGGTTTCAGCTTCCCAAATTTCGCATAGTTATACAAAGCAAGCAAACATGAAGGTGTCAAAATGGGGTTTTCATGGTTTTCTGACATTTTATAGAGCAAATGATTAATCCTTGATGAAAATAACCATCAATTGCAGCCTTAATTAACCTGATGGCATGTCTCCTTTCCACAGTCATGGACAGAAATAGGGGGTTAAATGGAGTGTGTATATATATATGAGAAGTAATACACTCCTGTTGTCTTTGGTCTGCTGTTTTTTAGTACATCTGGGATACAAGCTGAACACACCCAGCGACTTGAAAAACTATCCCTGCCCAGCATTGTAGTCAAGTTCTTAAGCCTTGACTCTGAGTCGCCAAAGAGTAATTTGAGTTGAGATATAAAGGTCTAAGTTAAACACAACAGACACAGCGCTCACCATTATAAAAGGAGTATACTTGTATGTGACACAAATGTACTCATAAGCAGAGACACCTAATTAGAAGTGAACAGTGTGAATATCGGTGTCAGTACCTTATGCCAAGATGTTATGGTCTGTAACAAAGAAGGTTTGGGTCCTTGTCTCCATTTTTACAGTGCGAATACAGTCATTGCTCGAATCTAAGTCATCAATGCTCAAGTCCAAGTCGAATCATGAGTTTTCAAAATCAGGATTTGAGTCGGATTTGTGTCCAAGTCCAGGATTTCAGTACAGCACTTCACTGTGCTGGATAAATCTGATGTAAAACAATCACAGATTTGAGGATGAAAACAAATATTTCTCTGTCCTGATAACTACACCTGAGACTCTGTATTTTTAAAAACATAACTATTCAACAGAGCTTTTACCACGGCTTGTTCTAATGGACTAGCTCAGGTGTGCAGAGGAATGTACATAATGTCCCAAAGCCTTGTATCTTTTTAACTACAGTACGCGAGTGATCAAGTTGGGAGGAGGAGATGTACAGTATGTCTGCACTGAGGTTATGTCCTATTGATCTTGGGAACCTACACCTTTCTTCTCATTTTTCCCCTCCCTTTTTATTTCTTCCCCTACATCCCTTTCTTGAAGTAACCACTCAGCCCACCTCTACTTCATCTCAGCATATTTAACCATTAGTGTGTGATGTGTGCTGCTGAGTGTCTCAGCGCAGCCAAAAATAGAGCAAATGTGGTGATCAGATGAACAGACTGTTGCTGCTCCTCTGACTAGTCGCCAAGGTATTTTTGGGACAACTTGACCATGTCATTTATTTATTTATTTTAACCTGGCAATGAGATGGAAGCTTAGCAAGTCTCAAATCTATTAGATCAGCAACTAGTTGTGCTCACTGCCCCAGCAGAAAATCAATGCTTGTATACGTATGAGTAAGTGACAAAGTGGCATTATGCGGCCAACACTCAGCTCTGCACCCCTCTGCTTGTAATCACCCTGTACAAAAACGTCCTCCTATCCATACACTGTTGTTCTGGTCTGCTATCAGGCGATCTCGGCAAACAAGCGTTTCTTTTTGTGATGCATAAACAAAATCGGACTAATGAGCAGTTAAGTCCTATTTTAGACTCAGCTGGTGCTAGATACAGCTTCTGCTGCAGCTAAATCAATTCATGTGGAGCATGGGAGAGAATACTGTATATTCACTCCCAATTAATGCAAAGTGCTACATCAAGATGAGACTTTTTACCCCCAAAAGTTCAATGTTTGATACCTGCAGTAAAATATTTTTTTTCTATTTGATATTTTGGTGCAGGCAGTATTTTATCTAGAATGATATACAGTTAATATTTTCAGTGAACAGGGTGAAATGAGAATAAATGGGTCTGTTTGAAGCCTCCTTTTATATATGTAGTTATTGGATTTGAGGCCAAAAAGGAGTAAAAGCTAAAAATTAAATCTTGCCATCTAGCCAGCTGTCTCCCACGCTGTTCTACCAGCACTGATGTTGACGTGTCTTTGAATAGGATAGTCAGGGTGACACTGAGCACTGCTCTAAATATGCCCTCTGTGATTAACTGGTCCTAGGAGAGACAAGGGCCCTGGCCAAGCCACTTCTCCTTGGCTGGGGCAAACACAAGACCTAGTCTTTTCCAGATGACCGTTAGTGGATGACTGTTTTTTCTGTTTCAGCTGTAATTTATAGTAACCTGTATAAAATAGAGCTACAATATGAAACGACTCAGGAAACATCCATGGAAAGTAAATGCTATACAAAAATGTGCCATTATGTAATTGGAAATTACTCGATCACTAACTCAGTTAATGACATTTAAGCTGAAAAGGCACTAACATTAGCATTCAGAGAAATGGCACATCTGGCCAAAGTCTCACATTTACAAGGGGTGATCTAATCTTGCACTGTATAGAGCTATTGCTTTGTTTGTACTTTCACCCATGATGTTACTCTTACAGCAGTTATTCGCTGCCCAAATCATTAATTGCTGTTGATTACTTGGGACCCAGTAGAGGATTGACTTCTGTTAACTTTTTGCACTAAATGTGAAACTCTTATATGACGGGTATGTCAAAAAGCCACCATCAGAACAAGAGACGGCTTTTTTTTTTTTTTG